AGAACCCCAGCAAGGCGGCCGAGTACCTGAAGGAGCTGAACAAGATTATCGAGACGCAGCAGGAGCTGCTGGAGAAGCAGAAGCGGAGGATAGACGAGCTGGAGCAGCAAGTGGCCAAGTTGTACCACGAAAATGCCTGCCTTCAGGACGAGCATCACCGGCACCTGGCCACATGCCGGCTCCAGCAGGGTATCCCTCCTGCGCCCCCGGGGGTGCTGAGCGCCATCCAGGAAAACGCCAGGCACGAGAAGTAAGCGCTGTCCGCCTTTCTTTGCCCCCTTTTTGCGGAAGGGGTTCCCCTAGCGGGGTTTCCCTTCCCTTTCCTCTTCTGCCTTCGGCTGCCCGAAGCTGGAAGCAGCGGGACGCCCTGCGGGGTGTGTCCCGGGGCGAGCCCCGGGCTGCTCGGGGGACAGCCTTGGGGTGCGGATGGGTGGCCCCAGCCTCTGTCCCCCAGCCCGTGCGGGTGCCCGTGTCTCGCTCGCTCCCTGGCCTGGGTCCCGGGGGGGTTTCGAGCCGGGGCTCCCCGGCTGCCCAGCCCGCCGTGCCCACGGCTGTCCCTGCAGCCACGGCTGCCCGCGGCGCTCGGGGGATGCCCGGGGCAGAGCCGCGGTAGTGGGGCGCCGGGAGCAGCGTGGCGAGCCCTGCCCTTCTCCTTGTAGCGTGTTCGCTGCCGGTCCGAGCGTCGTGGGGACCGAGGCTATTCAGATGCCCCGCGGCGCTCCCGAGGAGGGGCCCTTGGCTCCGGCCGCTATCGAAAGTGACCCGGCCAAGGGTCAGTAAACATTGGCCGCTCGCCACTTGCCGGGCTGGCCCGGGCCAGCGCCAGCTCGCCCCGTTCGGGCCGCCTTCGGTCCCGGCCGCCTCATCTATTCCAGCCTCTCTAAGCCGTAATTAATCGTCTGCGTTTCCCCAGCGCTGGGAAGTCCGCTTAGTTGCGCGGTTCCGAAGCAGCAGGGATTCGGGAATAGCAAGAACTATCTTGGGCTGCGCTTCCCCGGCATGATTTTACTTCTGGAAAAGTATTTAAGGCTTGGCTTTTCCCGGAGCGGAGTGGGAAAAGCATGCATGCGATTAGGAGCCCACTTCGCTGCTTGACACAGCACAATGGGCTGTTTGTGATCCGCTGCGCTGGAATTCCTTAGGTTTATAAATACAGACGCGGCGGCTCCCGGCCGCAGCCAGCCTCCGGGATGCGGGATTCGGCATCGCCGGAGGGAGGGAGAGCCCCGGCCCTGCTCCCGGGAGGGATGCCTGCGATGCATCCCGAGCACATCCAAGCACCGCTGGCTCGCTCGGGAGCAGCGGCTCTGGCAGCCCCGCTGGGCTCGGCTGCCTCTCCCTCCGGAGAGCAGTGTCGGGCTGGGATATCCCGGCAGCTGCCCCGGGTGCCGGGAGCTGCCGCCGGCAGGGTGGAAGTGCTGCTGCTGCTGCTGTGCTCGGAGTCGGGGGTCCTGGTCCGAAGCAGCGTTTTCTCGGAGTGCTGCTGTGGAGGCTTCAGAAGGGTCGCTTCTCACTCAGCGTCCCCTTTACCTGCTCCTGTTCTCAAGCCTTGCCCCTGGCTAGGGGAGCAGACTGGGAAGGGAAGTAGCTCTGCTTCCCCAGCGCCCTTCTTGCTGTCAGTGTCAACAAGGCTTTTTTTTTCTGTGATGTTGGGGTAATCACTTTAGGCTTTTTTATAAACAGAGATCTCTCTGAAACTAAATAGCTCCTTTAATAAACTGGAGAGCATGCTGTCATTTATCAATCAATCAATCTCTTAAGGAGAAAGATCTGTTTCCAGAAAACATGGAATATTTACACTAATCCTATCCTGAGTATCCATGTCCAGTACCCGAGGTTTTTTGTGGCTGTGCTTGTAGTACAAGATGTCAACTCAGCTATCTCGTCCCATTTGTCTCTTGCAAACGACATTACCAAAATTGTACAAATGGCTTGCCTTGTTTGATAATATTTCTCCTCTGCAGCCCAGGACTCATTTGCAGAGCCCTCCTTGGGCAGGCCGCTCTGGGGACTCAGAGGCTTTTAAGTCTCTTAAGTGGATTTGATGCTGGGATCAGAATTAATCTGGGATATTTATGGCAGTGTTGTATTGCTTTGAGGCATAGCCTGGGGGCTTAGTGGGGAAGCTGGGAGCCAGCCCAGTGCATCTGGCCGGGCCCTTGGCCCACGTGCCTGCCTGGGGAGACCCAGCTTCAGGGCCACCTTCATCCAAGCAGTCCTGTTGTTGTCCCCTCTACTCCCCCAAAATTGTCCTCCCTCGGGTGTCCTGCAGGTGGCCCTGCCTGGCTGGATGGCGGGGTTTACACCCGCGGGCCCGGCACAGGGGCTGTGGCAGGGGCTGGTGCTGTCCAGGAGCAGGGACAGGAGCCACTCATGGCATCAGTTTATTCTCTGTCTGGATACAAAAGATGGAGGAAGTATCCAGCTTGGAAAATAGAGACTAATACCCTAGTTTTAAAGTCTTTTTGCAGTCCCATGGTTCCCTCAGCTTCCTGACAGCCCAGCCTGCAGGTTCCAGGGCTCTGTAGCTTTGCTTTCAGAAACTCAGCCTCATTTTCCTCAGACATAATTGTCCCATTCACTTTGGGGATGTTTGGGTGGGGCACGAGGATCCCTTGTTTGCCGAAGTTCAGTGTCAGGTGCCAGTGATGCTGAAATGGGCAGTGACCCCTGCTCTTCCTGACACTTCTGTACTTCAGAGCTAAAAGGAACGGAATACTTTTTAAAGGAAGCTGGGCTTCTCTTAGTCAAATACACCAGGGCTTTTAGAAGTTGTCTTGTACCTTGACTTAAAAAATTTTTCTAAACTGCTTAGATTCCTGTCCTGCAGCTGCTCCACCTGTGTGAGGTGGCTGTGACAGGGGTTCCATATTGCCAAGTGTGGTTAACTTGTATATAAGGAAGTATGGAAAAATTATATGAGATAATATGGTTATGGTTAGGTCTTATACTTAATAAAAGATAGTAAAATAACCTGATGACCAAACAACAAAATCCCCACAAGTCCTAAAAGTTTTTAGTTGCTACAATGGAAGGAATTGTTACAGGAAGGAATATATGCTTGAATAATTTGGAAAAGCTGGTGTGGTTGTAGAAATTATGTAGCTTGTGCGGAGGGGAACTGTTAATGAGACCTGAATAGAATTATGGAAGAAAAACAGTCCAATAATAAATAAATATATAAAATAAATACATAAATATATTAAAATAATTTAGTTTATTCACTTTCAGAAAATTCCAGAGCAGAAAAAAAGTTTCTTCTGTGCCAGTTGCTGAGGGAAGAATGGAGGGAGGAGCAGAGGGCTGGGTGAGCAGCTGCAGGTGTGCTCCTTAACCTACAAGGATAGACCAGAAAAGGTTTAGGGGTGGTCTCATTAATTTTACAATGATTTGCTGAGACCAAATCAACATTAAAATGGACTGGTGGAATTGAGAATAGTTGATTACGAGGCTTTGTTGGATGCAATGAATCAGCACAAGGAAGATAATAGTAGGTGTTTAACTCATTAAGGTGCTTAACTCTGAGTTGCATAAGACTAATTTTGAGTGGCTCCTTTTCACTGAACGTTTTAGAAGTAGCAAGAGCCTCTAGAGCTCAGCTCCCTGGTGTAATTTGATAATGTGCTTTTTTTTTTTTGTTTGGGTGTACATCCAAATGTATTGCATTTTCTCACATTTCTACAAGGAGAGTTTTGTGTGTCTGAGAAGTCAACACTGTCCCCTCGCAGCTTCGGGAGGGATGTTTGTACTTACCCTAATCAAGTTAAAAACTGCTGCTTTTCCACAGAGAAAGTGTGTGGTGAGAGGCTGAAAAGGAGAGGGAGCAGAGTTGTCTGCTAAGACAGAACAGTTTGAAGGAGCTGTTTTTTGCAGCTTGGTGTGAATTCTGCACCTGGCCTGGCTGATTTATTTTACATGGATCTAGGGCTGGTTTTATTCTCTGAGGCACGACATCCCCGGGTTGGAGCTGTAAGACACCCCCAGAGTGTCTGGGAGACGCTGTAGGGCTGGGCGAGGTGTGCTGGGAGCAGTGGAGCAGCTGAAGTTGTTGCTCTGGAGACAGTCACATGTGAAGGCTGTGTTGTGCCCTACATAAACCGAGCTTGTGACTTCGCCTGTCGCTGCCGGCGCTGGGAGCTGCCCTGCACACAGCCTCAGCAGCAGACCAGACATTGCATTAGTGTAGAGACCAGCAGGGCTTGGATTTTTCTCCCTCCAGAGATGTCCTTTACTAAGACAGACTGTTCAAATGACGTAAATCCTATTTCCCTGCCTGCACGGCACTTGAGCAGCAGCTTGTTTTTGTTTGCTGTGCTGAAGTGGAGGTACCCAGCATCTGCTAAAGTAGGCTTGTACTTGGGCAAGCTTCTGCTTTCTCTGCCTCCGTGGCAGCAGGGATGGAGATAAGGCGCTGCTGTTGGGTCCTGTTTCTCCAGCAGCTGCATGGGGAAGTGTGATTTGTGGCTGGAAGTCTGCAGTTCCAGTGCCGTTCTTACCAAAGGATGCACCTCTGCATGTTTATCTGGCTCAGCTCATGAGGAATGCATTCATATGGAAAGCACAGGTTGTGTCCAGGATGAGCAGGTTATTCCAACAGTGTCCTGTCAGCCCTGTAGCAGGTGGGGATGGTGTAATTCCAGCTTTGGGCAGAAACTTGCACCTTCAAATAACTTTAAAAAACCCCGTTCACTTCATTTTCAATCCATAACAGGAATAGTGTGACTGCTGAGCCCTGAGTATGAGGGCTTCAGACTGGAGGGAGTGCTTTTGCTTTTGAGGCCCTCATTTTGGGGTCATTAGTGTGATTTAGACAGCAGCACAGGGGTGAGCATCCCTTAGAACAGGCATTTGTGGTGCTGGCAGGCTGCAGGAAATCAATAGTGTGAGGATGTGTAAGAAGATGTGAACTTGCTAACTAAACTCAGCTAAATTATTTTGGATCTCTGAAATATTGGCAAATTCTTAATATCTGCTAAACATTAAGCTAAACGATAACACGTAAAGACAAATTAATTTGAAAACTGATGTGTGCTGTATAATCAATAAACCAAGACAGGGAGCAGGGTGCCAGGAGCACAATGATGACAGCAGTGTGCTGGTATCGATAAAGTTCCTGGCAAGTCAGAGGGGGAAGGGAGAACACAGTCCAGAAAGAGAGCAGCAGAAATACATGCTGTTTTGGGAAAGGAAAACCAGTGTAGCAGAAAAGTAACCCATCCTGTAGCACAATAGCTTTAAAACGGTTTTCAA